GGCCCAAACCTTTGAGAGTAGGAGAAACCTAGCTACGGATTTCACTGGCAATCTGATAAATATCTCCATCGCAACGTCCAAAGGAACGTCAACGAAGTTCTTCTCTTTCGAGATTTCAAGAGACTGAGAATTGTTCTCTATTTTGCTCTTCTTTGATTGACTTGTCGTCATGGTCCTGACCGCTCACTCTTGATTAGAGAAACCCTAAATAACTCCACGTCTCCCCTGTGGGAAAGTGGATCTTGCACAACCGGTTCGGGTCTTCACGGTTGAGATAAATCAGAAGTGATGGATACGTTTGGTATTTTAATTAAAAAGAAAACCCTAGTTAACTTTTTTCACAAAAGGAACTCGTGACTAAATTTCTTATTTGGCAGAGCTCTCCACGTGACGTAAGAACTAAGCAAGGTTATAATTTATTTCAACCCGTGATTTATTGTTGAAATTGAGTTCCCCGCGATAACACTAAGCAAATTATTCGCTAATCCAAGAACTAGAAAGACATTATTCATCACTCTTGATAGTGATATCTCTTTTCTCGGCTGTCACTAAGACTTCTCCGTTTCCAACTTTGGTTCAAACATTAATGCTTTTGTCGTCTAGTCTTGTGGCCCAAGTTTTTTTTTACTTTTGTTAGAACGATAATGCTTTTGTCTAGTCCTTCGTCGTGTTGTGGTTTGTGCAACCACTATCCACCAATCAGAAATCTTCTTCCTTGATTTTTGCTGACTCTTCACATGCACTAAATAACATTTGAACTCCATCATATCTTCAACCTCAAGACCCATCTTCGCTAGTTCATATTTCTTCGAATGACAATCTCTTGAGAAATGTCAAAAAAGTTCATAGTTGTAACCTTTTTTCTTGTTCTTTGAACTCTTTTGCTCATATACCTTTCTATGTTTCTTCCAACATTCGGCTTATGTGTAGTTGTGTTTCTCACAAATACCACACCACTTTTTGCCATTTTCTGGTTTCAAACAAGAATTCCCTCCTCTTGTTCGAGCATTGAACGCACCTTCATACATGTCCTTGTTCCGTGAAGAAACATGATGTTCATGTGCTTGAACAGTTCATATTAACTCTGTCATCGAAAGGGAAGTTAAGTATTTTTGTTTGCTCCATCACAACCACTATGCTGTCAAACCTAGCTCGGAGAGATATGAGAATTGTCTTGACGATTTGATAGTCCGTTAACTCTTCTCCATGAACCCTTAATTGATTTCTCAAATCAAGTAATTTTCCTATGAAAATCTTGATGTTTTCACCTTCATTCATCTTCCATATTTTCATACTATCTTTTTAACAATTGAAGTTTTATGAATTGTACATACAGAGTTTTTTAAATTCAGAATCGATCCATTGCATCCCACACACTTTTCGAAGGGATTGTTAGTGCTATATGAGGAAATGCCGAACACGTACCGTTGAAGTTGCAGTTTCGGCCATCATATCTTTTATTGATACTTCCTTCCATTGAATTTTCAATTTCACCACTACGGATGTCTTCTCGTTTGTATTGGTTGGTGGAACACCTTTCTCAACCACCGCCCACAGTTCTCTTGTCATTGAGAGGGTTTTCATTTTCAATCGCCAGAAACCATAATTTTCTCCCTTGATGTGTTGTTGTTGCCACAGTCTATGTTCTCGCTTGAACATTTTGTAGGAATTTATTGCTTATCTTTGTGCTTCAATTGGCCCTTAAATAAATGAGACCCTGATATCGTATTAGAAGCTATTGCTTTTCAATATAATGATGGGCTTCTTGGTAACACAAGAAAATAAATCACAAGTTTTGTTTGTGATCATAATAAGTTGGTTTGTGAATGACTTGTTGAAACTTGAAACATAGCTTTAACGAGAGAAAAGAAAATAGAGTTAAATTTGGAATTTTTTTTATTTTATTAAGACAACACACACCTATATAGATATCTTACGCAAATAACCAAAGAAAGTAAACGTTGTGATTTTTCAAGCTGAAAATAAATCATACACCCATTGACTTAATTAACATACATACATATCTATATAATTCTGTAAAATAACATCAGACCAAACTCAGTAATCTAAACATTAATTTTTAAATAGCCATTGAGAAATCAATGAAATTAAACTTGGATATTTCATGATATTAATTCATCTTTTAATTGAGTGATCTTGACTTTTTGATATGATGCATGATCAAGCTTCAGTCTTCTCTTTACCCATATCCTTGAATATCCTAGCAGCTCTCAGAGCTACTAAGTGCGCATAGAAACATCTTTTGGAACAAAGGAACATATCCCAACCAGGTTCCTTAAGAACGAAAGGGGCCCTGCATCGGAATCCACAGCTTGTACAGATTGGTCGAAAACTATGATTGTTTGGAATAACTACAAAGCTTTCTTCTCGGAGTTCAACTACTCGTCCTGGTTTGAGACGGGAAAAATCTCCAAGAACGCACTTAACATGCAGAGCAACCTCACAATCATTGCAAGTATAGAAGAACTCATTTGGATCCATCTCTTCTTCACATATATCACACCAACATTTCCCACTTGCAATTTTTTTGCAAGATAGGGATAGTGGATGCTGATCGCATATGTGCTTTACTGTTTCAGGTAAACTTGCACAACGAAAATCCAAGTTATAGTCACATGAATCACAAGAAAACGCTCCTGATTCTATCGATCCATGACACGCATCACACTTGCCAATATTTTTGTTGTTGTAATGTAAAGGGTGTTCATGGTTTTTATGGGATAACAACTCAGAAATCAAAATGCATCCTACGTCAAGAACTACATTACCAGACTCGTACCTGAAACCATTGAAGAATTCGCCACAAGCACTACAAGGAAGAACCTTGGGGGAGTTCATGTTACCAACATTTAACGTAAATGACTTGTTGTGGAGCATATGCTGTTTTTTTCGAGGAAAATTTGCACATGTTTTATGGAGAACAAAATCACATTTCTCACAACTATAAACTAGATCACAGAAGACAGGACGCATGCATGCTCCGCAACGAATGCTTCCATCATGAGTTGTACCATCTTTACTTAGTTTTAGATTATGTTTTTCATGACTGAAATGATTTATCAGGTTATCACCCACCTCCTTAAACGGTGTTATATCTTCGGTTACTTCAGGTATCCCTTCAAGTTCTATCCCATCCCATACATCGTTTCTTGTTGCACATTGTAAATGAACAACATAGTTAATGCACACGGAACAAGAATAAACTCCGTAGAACCGGTTAACACTTTGAAGACAAACCCTGCATACCCAATCTCCAAAACTGAGTCGTTGTATATGAGAAATGCGATGATCGTGGCGATTGATTTTTATAACACGGGGTAAACCGATGCAACTTCGGTGGACCATAAAATCACATTGGAGACAAAAATATGGGCTTTGATTGCCTTGCATCCCACAAGCATTGCAAGTAAATGAGATTCTTCTTGCCATAAGAGTGAGTTTGTGCTTATGAGTTTTTCGATGTTCAAATTCAACAGGTGGTGGAATGCTTGCACAACCCAAGCACACACTGAAGTTACATATGGAACAATGATAAAGCATGCCTTCCAATTCCAAACCACAAATGAGACATGTATTATCAATGTAATCAGGGGTTTTAGATGTGAGCAACTTGAGAGGGTGCTTAGGGTGACAAGGATGGTTTACTTCTGGTGGATTTACACATTTCACATGAATGACCACCTTGCACTTAAAACATCTATAAGCTGATTTGGCAACGACTTTTTCTTTACATACTTCACAAAGATGCAACCGGTTTCTTGAAATTGGGAAGAACATAAGCGGATGTTCATGGGCTTGAAGATGTTTGATAGTAAGCGATGGTGGTTCTCTTGCACAAGAGAGATGTAGACTGAAGTGTTCATATGTGGAACACTCATAACACTTGTAAGCCCACGTATCGTTGATTCGTCTTTTACACACATTACACCAAAACGTGTCCCAGTTCGGTACGATGGTTTGTATGAGATGATGTTCGGGATGAGAAGTGTGATTGATTTTCATTATAATTTTACCATTACCACACTCCTTGTGGAACCAAATATCACATTCGAAACAATGGTAGCCGTTATTGATGTATCCACCCGTTTTACACCAAATACATCTGAAAGCAAACCCAGATGAAGGGGTCAAAGGATGATCATGACGAAAAAAATTAATTAGTGTTTCCATGGCGGCAGCGAATGAATCAAAACAGAGCTCTTCTTTAATTTTATCTTTATGGAATCTTTGTTCATCAATGGTTATTACGAAGTGGTGTTAGATAAGTGCTAATTGAACCACACTTTATCATCGGTCACTTTATCATCGGTCCCTTGTAAAATTTGATTCTTGCTTTTTTTAATGATTTTAACTTGCTTGTTCTTGTTGTTTTTAATTATTCTTGCTTGTTTTAATAGTTATAACTTTCTCGTTCTCGGTGTTTGTATTTATTCTTGCTTGTTCTTGATGTCAAAACACTTGCTTGTTCTTGTTGTTTTAATTTGATTCTTGCTTGTTTAAACGATTTTAACTTACTTGTTCTTGCTGTTTTTATTTGATTCTTCTTTGTTTGAATTGTCTTAACTTACTCGTTCTTGCTGGTTTTACTAACGGTTGCTGGTTTAAAATGGTTTGGCATATTATTGCAAACCATTCTCTCAAAAATGCACAAAATCAAATGTGGTACAGAATATTATCTCACTTGCTCCCCGACAACATTTGATAGTTTTTGTTCGTCCTTGTGTCATGAGAACACAAAAAGAAAAAATATATGAGATTTAAGAGTATAGAGGAACCTTACCACCTCATATGAATGCTATTTTTTTTTTTACAAAACAATTGGGATTTAGCAAAATTGAAAGTAATTTTTAAGCTAATAATTCATCAAACTCACCGGATTTACCTTTGAACTGAAACCAACCAATATGACCGGTCCGTGTATTTTGCAAAATAGTATAAGGCATAAGTCTCAGAAATCTTTTGTTTGAGATCACTAAATTGAGCGGCATGGTCCCCAAACATATGTTCTTTAACTTTCATTCCAATATGCAAGAGAAGGATCTCATGTTTGCTGCTGAGAGGTAAATCTAATGAATCTTAAAGTCAGATTTGCGCGCGGTAGTATCTCATACCTTTTTTTCCCAGGATGAAAAAGATAGAGAAGCTTTTCTTACCAGTCTCAATGGCTCTCATGTTCAGTCAATGGAAGAATCTTAAAACACTGATCATCGCTCATTGGATCATTTCCGCCCAATCCTCTGAGAGTAGGAGAAACCTAGCTACGGATTTCACTGGCAATCTCATAAATATCTCCCTCGCTAGGTCCAAAGGAACGTTATTGAAGTTCTTCTCTTTTGAGATTTCAAGAGACTGAGAATTGTTCTCTATTTTACTCTTCTTGGATTGACTTGTTGCCATGATCCTGACCGCTCACTCTTGTTTAGAGAAACCCTAAATACCTCTACGTCTCCCCTGTTGCACTTTATAAGTTGAAGTAGAGAGGCACCAGGCGGTCCAGGCCCATATAGTATGGTTATTAATAACTCGGAAGTGTGGGATATTTTCGGTATTTTTAACTTTATTAAAAAGGAAAAAGAAAAAACCCTAGTACAGTTAGCTTTCTCGCAAAACGAAAAAACCCTAGTAATCCCTCTTAGCCAGAACTCTCCACGAACATGACGTAAGACCTAAGCAAAGTAGTTCTTTTAATTCGATCTCCTTGCTATAGATGATGAATTATTACTATTAATTTATTATATTCGTTTGATTATATTGCCTTCTATGATGCTTTGCTTGAATGGGTGCTCTGTTTGTTTATTGTTTTCGGAGAAAGGAGTCTATAATACCTTTTCTAAGTAGAGAAGTTGCTGATAATTGAATCTCAAATCACGACCAAATAGCGAGTTTTGTACCACCATATATAGCTTGTTTACTTCTTTTTTTTTAAAACACAAGATTAAGCAAAAGATAGTAGAAGTAGAGTTGCAGTTTTGGTGTTGTATGTAATAATGGAATTGCTGTAGCATTATTTTGTAAGACACTACAATATTTTGGGCTTATTGACTTATTCTTCTTTTGTTTGATAATGAAAAGTACTCTCTTTCTCTTGTACAAGCTTTATGTAAATTCGAGAATCCATCTATGTACAATGATTTTCAACCGCTTTTAATTTTTTATTTTATTTTACTGTATGCAGTTGTAACGTGATGGAGAATTTGGATAGCTTAGGAGAAGTTTCAAAATGGGCAGATGTAAACAGAGACATTCTTGAACTTATCTTCAATAAGCTCGACTTGATGGACATTACCATGGGAGCTTCACGTGTATGCATCTCTTGGTTCCTTGCCTCTCACAAAAGTACTTTGTGGAACACGGTCGACCTCACCAAGCTTCAAGAATTAGATATCTCCAACAGTTTTGTCTTTAAGAGTAAAGTACGACCAATCTTCTATTACAAGCACCCGGTTGACGACGATGAAGGCCTTTCTAAGAATCTTTTGACTAAGATCATCTCCCGGTTCTTTCATGACTTTTTTGAAGTACAAGGCGGCATAAGTCTCATGAATCTATTGATTGAGATCAGCAAGTTGAGCCGCATGACCCCGAAGAATTTGTTCTTTAACTTCAATTCCTATTTACAAGAAAATGGTCTCAAGTTCGCTGCTGAGAAGTAAACCTCATCAATCATCTAACCAGATTTTCTTGCATGGTGTGCCACGCTCTCATACGTTTTTTGTTTTTTTTTGTTTCTCAGGATGCCAAATATAGAGAGACTTGCTTTACCAATCTGGTGCTATCAAACCAAGAATTCAATGCGGTTTGCTTTCAGTCAATGGAAGAATCTTAAAACACTGATCATCGCTCATGAACACTCTTTCACCGGGACATTTGAGTTTCAGGCTGTGGGAGAGAGTTGTAGTAACCTAACCAACTTAAAATATTTGGGTCATTTGGAAGATTACAAGGCCATTGAAATGGTGCGTTACCTCCATAGCCTCAAGAGGTTGAGTTTACGGTGCTCTTTGGTTAGTAACCTAGCAGTTTACCGCTTAATCATCGGCCTTCGAAACCTCACGATTCTTAATGTTTTACATTGCAAACTCCCGCATGATTTGCTTCCTATGGCGAAATCTATAGGCGGTTATGTTATAACGACCGCCACTCAAAAGCTTGAAAAATTTATCAGATGTTCTCAAGATTGTAGGATTTGCAAAGATCGATGTCCCTACTCCTGGTCGTATCTCGCTGAGGATTGGCCGAAAGATGAGATAAAGGAACTTGAATTCTGAAATTTCTGAGAATCAGTGTTTTGTTCTCCCTACTGAATTGGGAAGCTGGTGGTTTAGTGCTTTTTTTTTTTTCTTTAATTGAATTTGAAATTTGTTACTCAACGCCATTTATACATATCCTAATCCTATACTATTATTTGGGGAGTACAATTTATGGATTACCTTTAATTAACCTTCCCCTTTGTAAGAATTTACTTAATAATGCTATTGGAAATAAAATTTTATAGAGTAAATTAATTCCACTCATTAAGGATAAACAAGTCAAATACTATTTTATGCAATTTAATTAATTTAATTTAATTATAAAAACGAAAATCTATTATTAATTTTTTTAAAAAAAATGACCAATCAAAATGAACATATAAGATTTGATATCTAACTTACCATATTAATTTGTTATTAATCATTATACTTCACCTCTCATCTTAGACTCACAAAAATGCCCCTTTTTCAATACCCTTTTCAAAAATGCTCCCTTTGGCTGTCCATTTTTAAAAATACTTTTTTTATGTACAAAATGACTAAATTACCCTTCTTTTAATAAAAGATATCACAAATATATAAGGAAATATAATAAAATTAGGTCCACAAAATACAAAATATTTTTTGGCGGGAAAAGTGATCCCGCAATTTTTTCCGCCAAAACACTTGTAAAAACTTGTAAAACCTTTAAAATACCTTGTAAAATTTTTCCGTAAAAAATTTTCCCGCCAAAAAAATATTTTTGCGGGAAAAGTGATTCCGCAATATTTTTGGCGTTAAATTTTTGGTGGGAAAATTTTTGGCGGGAAAAATTTACAGGGTATTTTAAAAGTTTTTTACAGGGTATTCATAAGGTTTTACAATGTATTTTAAAAGTATTTATAAGGTATTTATAAGATATTATAAGATTTTATAAGCTATTTTATAAGGTTTTACAAGTTATAAGGTTTTACAAGTTTTTTATAAGGTTTTACAAGTTATAAATACCTTATAAAACCTTATAAGTACCTTGTAAAACCTTTTAAAATACATTGTAAAACCTTACAAAACACTTGTAAATACTCTGTAAAACCTTTAAAATACCTTGTAAATTTTTCCCGCCAAAAAAATTGCGGAATCACTTTTCCCGCAAAGAAATTTTTTTGGCGGGAAAAATTTTTATGGGAAAATTTTACAATGTATTTTAAAGGTTTTTACAAGTGTTTTGGCGGGAAAATTGCGGGATCACTTTTCCCGCCAAAAAATATTTTGTATTTTGTGGACCTAATTTTGTTTCAAATAAGGCTAAAATGGTCATTAAAAATTAAAAGAGGGCAAACTTAAAAATGGACTCTCAAAGGGGGCATTTTTGAAAAAGGGTATTGAAAAAGGGGCATTTTTAACAATCTATTTCTATAAATAAATAAATCATTATATCATCTATATAATAAAAAAAAAGTAATTTTTTTTCTGCATATACCAAAATTTGAATTTCCGCATTTTAAGATTTTATGATGAGATGAGTTAAATAAGGTTTGACACTTCTAAATATTTGAAAATTTGATTCTGCAAGCAATTTTGAAAATAATAAATAATAGATTGTGCCGCAATATTTTCATATGGATTTTAAAATGAAAATATAGACTCCACACACGGATTGAATTTGGTATTATTATATACCAAATATATGTTCATAACATATTTGATTATGTGAATAATTGGTAAATTCCGTAATTAGCTCAAACAAATATCTATTTCAACAACCAATTAATCAATATTTGAAAAAATAATTTCCTAAATTAATTCAAAATAATAGCTAATTTTCTTTAGTAATTCAAAATAATCTACGTTTTAGATGCGATTCATTTATGATATTTTGATTTTTGATATAACTAAATTATATGCACTCTCATTTTGTGGTTGTTAACATAAATTAACTCATTGTTCAAACAATATTAATTTTTTTAAAAAATAATCTTATTTTCCGTTTTCATATCTTACAAAAAATATATCCATAATTGAATACTATAGAAAAAGGAAAATATATTCATTCTAATATTATATAGGGAATCTTGGCAAATGTACCACTTTCTGACGATTCCCTTTGAAATCTACCACAATTGGAAAAGGTTTTCTGTTTCTACCACTTTTTTTGCCATGTGATAATTTATGGACGAGTTTGCCCTTGATGGCGACAGACTGATGTGTCAGAAAAAAGGACAGCTGCATTAATTGCACTCGGGGACAATTTTTGTTACATTCAGGGACAAATTTTATTACACTCGGGGACAATTTTTTCGGAACTCCGTCGACGAAGCTTCACCGCTCCAAATCCTGTGAGCTATGGGAATCATCATCATCATCATCTAGACCGATCAAAACTCATTCGATTCGAAGAGTTTATAGCGCAAATTTAGATCCATTCTCCGACGAAGAGTTTTCAAAAAAAATCCAAGAGCTAACTCTCAGATTCAATGTCCCAAACCAAAATGACGACGAGAATTCAAAGCCGATGATAATTCACGATTACAAAGCTAATTCAATCGAGCCACCATGGAATGAGATGGTTCATTTGTCGAGTATTGAAATGAAAGCAAACAGTGTTGATCTTCCTCGTTCACTTACTCGGGGACGAAGACGAAGATCTGGATTGAAATGAAAGCAAACAGTGTTGATCTTCCTCGTTTACTTACTCGGGGACGAAGACGAAGATCTGGATTTACTCGGGGACAACTTTGTTTCGAAAGGTCACATCAACTGGTCATTTTACAAACACAATGTGGTATGAATGATAATTGAGATTCAAATGTGGTAGAAGTGATAACTTTTGGGCAAAATGTGGTACCCAATCTAATTTTCCCTATTATATATAGGGACTGACAAAAAAATATTATTTTTTCACTTACTATTATAATATAGGGAGACTCACAAAAATGCCCCTTTTTCAAAAATGCCCCCTTTGGCTGTCCATTTTTAAAAATACCCCTTTTTATGTACAAAATGACTAAATTACACTTCTTTTGATAAAAAATATCACAAATATATAAGGAAATATAACAAAATTAGGTCCACAAAATACAAAATATTTTTTGGCGGGAAAAGTGATCCCGCAATTTTTCCCGCCAAAACACTTGTAAAAACTTGTAAAACCTTTAAAATACCTTGTAAATTTTTCCGTAAAATATTTTCCCGCCAAAAAAAATTTTTTGCGGGAAAAGTGATTCCGCAATTTTTTTGGCGTTAAATTTTTGGCGGGAAAAATTTACTAGGTATTTTAAAGGTTTTTTACAGGGTATTTATAAGGTTTTACAATGTATTTTAAAAGGTTTTACAACGTATTTATAAGGTATTTATAAGATATTATAAGATTTTACAAGCTATTTTATAAAGTTTTACAAGTTATAAGGTTTTACAAGTTTTTTATAAGGTTTTACAAGTTATAAATACCTTATAAAACCTTATAAGTATCTTGTAAAACCTTTTAAAATACATTGTAAAACCTTACAAAACACTTGTAAATACTCTGTAAAACCTTTAAAATACCTTGTAAATTTTTCCCGCCAAAAAAATTTTTACGGGAAAATTTTACAAGGTATTTTAAAGGTTTTTACAAGTGTTTTGGCGGGAAAATTGCGGGATCACTTTTCCCGCCAAAAAATATTTTGTAGTTTGTGGACCTAATTTTGTTTCAAACATGGGTAAAATGGTCATTAAAAATTAAAAGAGGGCAAACTTAAAAATGGACTCTCAAAGGGGGCATTTTTGAAAAGGGGTATTGAAAAAGGGGCATTTTTAACAATTTCTCTATAATATATCACAACTTTATTCTAAAACATAAAATTTATAAATTTTGTAATAAATGAAATTCAACCCGTAATGAAATTCAACCCGTATTGTAGTACGGGTGATGATCTAGTGAGTATGTATTACATTTACACACGATTCAACTTCTCATATACATTTATACTAGGTTCGTACTCGCATCGTAGGCAGCATGAAATCATTATTTCTAAATAATTTTCTGATATGTTATATTATACTTTACTATAAAATAATTAATCCAAGATCGATATCATAATAATCTGACATATTTTTTATGGTTTAATTGTCGAATTTGCGATAACTTTTTTTTTTATAATAGAAATTGCAAGATTATGAGTATTTTTTTTTTTTTGACATCTTTGGATCGACTTTGGATCGACAAGGCCCGATCCATAGCCAATCCCTACTACGTGGGGTAATGCGGCTTACTGGAGTCGAACTCCGGTGGGGAAGGCGGAGTCAAATGGATTTAACCACTTGACTAAAAGGCACATTCCCAAGATTATGAGTATTTAAAATAGACAAACATGTTCATTTACTTCGCCTCACATCTAGTTAAGATGTTTCAGCGCGGGCAAATGCGTAAAACACAACAATTGTGAAACTATAAATCATGTCTATAATGTATATGTTCGTTTTCAAAAATTCGAATTGTAATGGTCAAGGGTTTAAAGACTTCTATCGATGTTTAAAGACTTCTTCACTGATCATGTCATCTCTTTATGCCTTGCTCACGAACGCTTCCTTGTATGATTGTGATTCCTCAGACCCAAGTAAACAAGCCTCATGTTTTTGAGCTGAATCTTCAAACTCCATCGATGTTTATTTCTCACTCATTGACTTGTATTTCTATTCTCTCATTAGTTCTCAAATTTTCCCGTCTGTTCATTTTCATTATATTCCTCACGGTTAATTACAACACTTTCTTGAGAAGAGTTCTACTTGATTGGAAATCTTTTCTGAAACATTTGTATCTCAATGTTCTTTCTCTCCTTAGAATCTAAGATTATACATTGCTTGTTCTTGAACAAAACCCGATATCCACAAGATAAAATTTGCGAAACACTAAACAAATTATTCGCTAATCCAAGAACTAGAAACACTTCCTTCATCACTCTTCTTCCTCTATTAGTCATGATAGTCATAACTCCTTTCCCAGCTGTCATTACGACTTCTCTGTTTGTTCCAACAGTCGGCTTCCGTGTAGTTGTCTTTCTCACAAACACCGCACCACTTTTTGCCATTTTCTTGTTTTAAACCAGAATTTCCTCCTCTTGTTCGAGCATTCAACGCACCTTCATACATGTTCTCATTCCGTGAAGAAACATCATGTTCATGTGCTTGAAGTGTTCCTATGCTACTCTAAAGGCGAACCAACGCTACTACTTAACATACGTCTGGCCTTATTATTATAGACAAATCGGCTGTTATGGACAACTTTTTTTTCTTGTGATTCAACAGAAATTTTACTTAGTCAGAATGTGTTACACCCCTAGTATAACTCTTTGTAGATATATTAAAAAGCAAAACCTCTTAGATTTATAGGTACCTAAAACAGAAAACATCATAGTCGAAATATGAGACAAGAAAGTAGACAAATCCAAGTTGTTTAATTTAAGCAATCAAATGACAAAATTTTACGAAAAACAAGTCTATCAATGCAAACATTTCAAATATCATGGGTACCAAATCATGAAATTTTCTCTCGTACAACAACCTAACACTCTCTACGTAATCCGAAAAAACCATTGCCTTTGTTCCCTGAATTCCACGAAGCTTGAACTCATAGTCTGCGTGTACTTCAACCTTGGTGTTTCTAAACCTATTTGTGTCGGGATTATAATGGATAACATAAAAGTTATTAGAATAGTACCGTGGTGCCAAACTAAAATCACCTGTATGAGTAGTGCCCCTGATAAATAAATTATCCAACCGTAATAACATCTTCCAACTATTGATACTGAAACTTTTCTTCAACCATCCATGTGCTTCGGCATGCTGATCAAAAATCCACACTTCAAATTTATAACTTGAAGTTTTAGCGGCTAAGGCTGCTTTTCCCTTGTAGCTCATTAAAGTGTAACCATGTAGAAATCCGGTTCGAAAGTCCGCGGATAAACTAGTAAAAATATCCAACTTTTAAGACCTCAAATCGAATCTCATTAAGCTCACTTGTGACAACTTAGCGCCCGTAAAAGCAACATAATACAAAACACCATCGATGCATACACTGTTAAACACAGGTTGGTGAGGAGTTATATAATCAATCATTCTCCATGGTTTCTTTTTAGCTCCCTATGTGACTACTTGATGATTAGATGATATTCGACGACCAGGGGCTCTATTCATGCACATTACCAATAGTTTGTATTCATCATTAACGGGATCGTAACCGAAAAAACTTTGTGCGTTCGTACTACTGGTTTGGACTCTACCTAAAACCATGGATGTACCGGAGCTAGGGTTAGCTATGCATTTCTCTAAACCATATCCAAGGCTTATCAAGCCATTAACATAATGAGAATAGAACGCAATACTCACAGAATCTGGATAAGGACATGTAACGCGTGATAGATTAGACGTTGTTGATGAAGACAGTGCGAGAAGAAGTAGAAACACTTATATATATCCGTTGTGAAATCATTTTTTTTTTAGTCTGATTCTGATTTTGGAATCGTTAACACGGCAAGATGAGATTTTTTTGGTATTTTAACTTAATTAAAAGGAAAAAGCCTAATTAATTTTTTTCACAAAAAGAAAGAATATATAAGTGAATCGTTACTAAAATTTCTTCTTCGCCAGAACGTGGCCTAAAAGCTAAGAACGGTTGTTCTCCAAGTTCTCCCACCTTGCTATAGATTATGACTTATTTACTCTAATATTATTATTTTCTTCTGTTTATGGACATAAAATATCCTTTTTAAGTAGGGAATTTGCTTATAACTCAATCTAAATCACTAAAGATAGTGCTTACAACTTAAAAGCACAGACTATTCGAACCTTAGACCCTTTTTCCCATTACATAGAAGAAGTCAATGAAAAGTACTCTCTTTCTCTTGTACAAGCTTTATGTAAATTCAAGAATCCATCTACTAAAATGTTTTCAATCTTTTTTTGTCTCTTTTTTTTTCTTCTCTATGCAGTTGTAAAGTGATGGACAAGGTAGAAAGCTTAGGAAAAGTTTCACGATGGGCAGATCTAAACAGAGACATACTTGAACTTATCTTTAATAAGCTCAAAGTGATGGACATTACCATGGGAGCTTCACGTGTCTGCATCTCTTGGTTCCTTGCCTCTCACAAAAAACATTGTGGAACACTGTCGATCTTACCAAGCTCCAAGAGTTAGATGTCTCCCGCAGTTTCAACTTTAAGGATAAAGAAAAACCAATTTTCTTCTACAAGCACCGGGTTGACGATGATGGAGGCCTTACGAATCTTTTGACTAAGATCATCTCTTGGTTCTTTCTTGACTTGTATGAAGTAGAAGGCGGGATAAGTCTCATGAATCTGCTGATTGAGATCACCAAGTTGAGCCGCATGACCCCGAAGAATTTATTCTTTAACTTTAATTCCTATATACAAGAAAATGGTCTCAAGTTCGCTGCTGAGAAGTATATCTCATCTTTACGTAATGAATCATCTCAAATCAGATCTGCTTGCACCGCTTGTGTTTCATACATTTTTTTTTGTTTTGTTTTGTTTCTCAGGATGCCAAATATAGAGAAACTTGCTTTACCAATCTGGTGCTATCAAACCGAGAAGTCATTGCGGTTTGCTTTCAGTCAATGGAAGAATCTTAAAACATTGATCATCGCTCATGAACACTCTTACACCGGGATTTTCGACTTTAAAGCTGTGGGAGAGAGCTGTAGTAACCTAACCAACTTAAAATATTTAGGTCATTTGGAAGATTACAAGACCAGGGAAATCGTGCCTTACCTCCAGAGCCTCAAGAGGTTGAGTTTGCGATGCTCTTTGGTTAGTTATGAAGCAGTTTACTGGCTAATCATCGGCCTTCAAAACCTCACGATGCTTAATGTTTCACATTGCAAAAACTCGTATTTCCATGCTATTACGAGATCTAGAGACGATTTTGTTATAACAACCGCCACTCAGAAGCTTGACAAATTTATCATATGTCCTCAAGATTGTAGGATTTGCAAAGATCATCAATGTTGCTACTCCTGGTCATATCTCGCTGAGGATTGGAGGAACGATGAGATAAAGGAACTTGATTTCTGAAATTTGTGAGAAGAGATGTATTGGGTATGTAATAAAAATTTGAATTAGTCTAAGATCGATATCACAAACCCCTTCCATACTTTGCCTTGCATCATGTTAAGATGTCCGTAAAATTATCAACCCTATCTATAATGTATATGTTCATTTTAAAAAATCCGAGTTGTAACATATGCATCAAAACAAATATGAAAGGGTGTAATAAATTCTTATGATATAAATGAATATCAAATCTTTTTTATTTGATTGGATATTAAATATATATTTCTGTGTTTTTTAGAAATTAATAATTACCATAAATATTTTTTGTTGAATTTTAATTAATACATATGCCTATTTACTGATTATAATTATACCCTTAATGAAATTTTTTTTTAAAAAAAAACTAAAATTCGATGGTATATCATATAAATTTTAAATTTTACTTAAAAGTATAGATTAAAATATCATTACAAAAGCTCATATAGATATATAGCTAAAATCGGACACAAAAGGTAATATAGATCCCCAAGAAATTAAATGTAAAACCTAGGTTAAAAAGAATATATTTAGTTGCCAAGAAAGCTCTGAGATCTTTACTTGAAGTTTTTATGACTTAATTAGCCCAAGAAAATGGAATTATTGAAATTAATCTAGCGTATCAACAAATGGAAAATCCAACTTATTTCTACAATAACTAAAGGAAATAAGGAAAAATATATATATATATATATATATATATATAGTTACTTGCCGTTGAAGAAACTCAGAGCGTATATCCTATAACTTTGCAATTTGGAATGTCTATAAAATTGTTAGGACTATGTTTTTTTGTCAAATTTAGGAACTTTCGTTCTTGTGGAATATGCAAACGTAAGAAATCACTCATTCTTCATAGATTTTATTTTTTCATAGATTTTCTTCTGATCTTTCACTTGTTCAAGCTTTTAGGTCGATTCAAGAATCCATTCTAAAAAGTTTTCAACCTTTTTTCTCTTTTCATTTGTATGTAGTTGCAACGTGATGGAGAAGGCAGACAGCTCAAGAGAAGATTCAAAATGGGCAACTCTAGATAGAAACATACTTACCATTATCTTCGATAAGCTCGACATAATGGACATTACCATGGGAGCTTCACGTGTATGCATCTATTGGTTCCTTCTCTCTCACAACAAAACTCTGTGGAACACCATCGACCTCTCCAAGTTCCAGCACAAGAGAAATAACGTCATCTACAAATACCGGGTTGACGATGAAGTAGAAGAAGCCCTAAGATTTAGTAATCTTTTAATTAAGATGAGCCACTTCTTCTTTAACTTTTGTGAAGTAAAAGGCATAAAACTCAGGAATCTATTGATTGAGATCACTAAGTTGAGTAGCACGGCCCCAAAGAATTTATTCTTTAACTTTTATTCCAATATAAAAAAGCAGGATCTCATGTTTGTTGCTGAGAGGTAAATCTCATCTTTATAACTAAATAATAAAAACAAATATCTATCTCATATGTATTTTTTGTTTTCCAGGATGCCAAACATAGAGAAGCTTGCTTTACCGGTTTCATGGTCACTGTGTAATGCGATGAACTCATTTAGGTTTGCGTTTAGTCAGTGGAAGAATCTTAAAACACTGATCATGGCTCATAATGACTTTTTCATCTGGCCGTACACATTCGAGTTTCGAGTTGTGGGAGAGAACTGTAGTAACCTGAATAACTTGAAGATTATGGGTTATTTGGATAACAAAGATGCTGTGGAAATCGTGCGTTACCTCCAGAGCCTCAAGAGGTTGAGTCTACGATGCTCTTCGGTCAATTTCAAAGGAGTTCTCTTGCTAATCAGAGGCCTTGGAAACCTCGCCATCCTTAACCTGACACATTGCCAATACTTTCGTTGTAATTCTATCACAATAAATAATGTTGTACAAGCATCCACTCAGAAGCTTGACAAACTTATCATATGTTCAAAAAATGATTGCAAAGTTTGCAAAGATCGACCTGCAATGTTCGGGTTGGATGCTTTGTACGAGAAGTATTGGCGAAACGATGAGATAAAGGAACTTGAATTCTGAAATTTGTAAAAGTTTTGTTGATGGGTTTTGGACAAGTTATCAGATTCTATTTCACAACATCTATCTTACATATAAACCTTGCCATTACAATATTGTTTCATTTGTTAGATCATATGCTTCATTCACTATCGTTTTTTTGGTTAAACTCTGTTTTCCTCTCTGTTTATCCCATCTCTTCTTTTGTTTTTCTCATTGTTTATGAACTGGATCATGTAGTTTTCAGCTTTTGATGACGTAGTGAATGAGAAGATTTTCAAATGAATGTGGCGTTTATCAATGGGAATTAGGCAAAGTTTAGCGGCATCAACCGACATAATTAATCACGGAGAAGTGTCACGGTCTTGCATTTGATCGACGACATACTTGCACTCTTTGAGCAAGCCTTCAAGAACAAAATCAACTTGATTGCCATGGTCGATGATCTTTTTAAATGTATTCATCAATTGCTTTTGATCCCTTGGTTACATTCTTTAAGTTGGTGCTTCAACTGGTTGATATGTCCATGACAAGATTTTGCGTAAGTGGCAGCTAACATGAGTCATAAATCATCGGCAGCGTTGGCTGGAGAGACAAGAGGCTGAAGTGAAAGCGATCGAGACGATGATGTTTTGAGTACTAATTAAAAGTCAACATTCTTCCCTATGTGCTCTCTTATTCCTCAAACTATTAAACATTGGCAATACAAGAGTCATTTGATTTCAAATAAAGAGGTAAAAAGGTTAGTTTTGATGTAGTGAACTCTGCTTATATGATTTGTGCATTGAAATGCCATTGAGGAGAAAGATGATGATCTAGCCATCTAAATTGTGTTATCAAGAGACTCCAATAATCCTAAAGAGTGCACAAAACTTTTTTTTAAAAGAGAAAATCTCATTTAAAACTTTGAAGGTGGTAACTTTAAACCTTTAAAATTTTGTTACTCCCAAAATTAATCATCAAAATCACTTCCGTGTTCGCGGGTCTTACAAAAGTTAGCGGATAAGTTCATCCCGTTTATCTAGTAGGTTCAAATCCTATGTTTCCAACTTACTCCGGCAACCTTTCCTTCTTTCGTTTGATAATGAAAAGTCCTCTCTTTATTTTTCTTCAAGCTTTAATAATCTATATATCTAAAATGTTTTCAATATTTGTTGTCTTTTATCTATATCTAGTTCTAATTAACGTGATGCAACACAAGTCCAAATCGAACATGGAGTGTATCTGGTGTGTATGTTTCATTTAATGTATCAATAAGCCATTTCTTTACAATGTTAATGTTTTCGTGCATCCTAACAAACCACACTTGACAATGAGAAAAATGTTACTTTAATTTTTAGCCAAATGATATTAAACGAAAATGAACGTGAGGAAATCCTACACACTTTTAAAGGAAAAAGATAAAAATAGTTGAACGCATATGGATGAGGGAATATGAGTACTATACTACTATCAAACTTGCTTTCCAGTTTTGACTTTTGAGAGACTCTGCAAACAAATGACGACAAATGATTAGGTTTGTGTAATTATAGATTTATGGGCATGCATATGATATGTTTGGAGACTTATTCTTGATCCTTAGGTACACATATATTCAAAGCTGCTCATTGTGTTGTGTAGAAGTTATGTCCATGCAGGTTTTCATATAAATTCATTGTTATCTTCTTTTTTCATTAGTCCTTCAAAATCTCTAATAGATGTTTTTTAGGGGCATTGAGATGGAAAGATTTGATGGTGCAAGAAGAACCCAGAGATGGACACTCTATATGAAATCTGTCCTTAGTTCAATGTGTTTTTTCTTCCTTTATTATATTGTTCTATAAATTCAAGAATCTACTTATTCATAGTCTATATATCTAAATAATTATATGTTTTTCTTTCTCGCTTTTGTAGCTGTGGTGTGATGGTCATGAGATCAAAAAAGTTCCGAGATGGGAGAATATGGATAGAGATATTTTAGCCAAGATTTTCGAGAAGCTCAATGTGGTGGATATTACCATGGGAGCATCACGCGTCTGCGTCACTTGGTTCCTTGTCGCTCACCAAAAATCTCTATGGAAAACCATCAACCTCGCCAATTCCCGACTTGTCGACTTCAAGCATCCTCGAGTACAAAACTTGCGGTTGGACTCCCAAAACGTAATAGAAGGTTTACACAATCTAAGGAGGGTTTTGTTTGAAATTACCAAATTCAGCGGTACCGTCCCGACCAATTTGTTCTTCAACTTCTATTCCTTCATAGAAGATGAGGATCTCATTATTGCTTCTGAGAGGTAAATCTCATATACTCCTTGTAATACAAAGAAACCGAAAAGGGATTTGTCTCCTCCTCTCTCTCATAATTCTTGATTTTCAGGATGCCAAATATCAGAAAACTTGTCTTATCTCAGTGGTGCACTATAAGTGAGAATGTATATCAACTTGCATTCAGTCAATGGAAGAAACCTTCACACATTAATCATTTCCACACTTCTTCCTCAAGGGGATAGTCAAATTTGTTCGAGTCATCGGAGAAAATTGTACAAACCTCACCAACCTGAAACTTTCGGGTCATGTCGACAAATATCTAACTGAAGAAATTGTGCGTTACCTCCCAAAGCTCAAGAGAGTGAGTATGAGATGTTGTGTCATTGACTCTGTTCAAGAAGTTTCCTTAGTCATCACATGCCTCCAAAACCTAACGATCCTTAATCTCTCACATTGTGTGCTCAAAAACTTAGTGAAGGGTTCTTTATTCGAGGAGAGTTTCATAAAAATCGCCACTAGGAAGATTGACACATTAATCATGTGTTCGAAAGTCGGTTGCTGGTTATGCGAAGATCGATCTCGCGTATTAGGATCAGATGCTTTTTACGAGAAGCATTGGCGGAATGATGAGATTAAAGAACTTGAATTCTGAGATTTTGAAAAGCTTTGCCTTACCTTATATATGTGACTCTTATTAGTTATTACTATAAATATAAAACAGTTCCATTACAAGATGTGTATGTTTCATTTGATAAATCGTGTTCATAACGATGAGAAAAATGTTACTCTTGACCTCTTGAGCTAGATGTAAGCTATTACAAGTGAAAAAAACGAAAACTCATTTTAGAATCTTGAGTGAATTGTATAGAGATAAAATCAGTATTGAGGTAGTTCCATATGATATTTAAAGCTCTGAAGAAAAATGGACAAACCAACATATCTCCAAAATAAGGAAGTTACCATCAAGTTCCCCAAAATAAGGAAATTATGAATATACGAGAAGATTTTGTAACTTGCAGTTGAAGAAACTTTAATGAACGTGAGCCTCTATATATCAAATGGCTTCATAATTCAAAACTACATATAACAAAAGAAATTTAATTACGTTTGAAAAAAAAACCACAAAAAATGAACCACTGGTTTAACGCAAATTGAGTCTGAGGTAGGTCTCATCATAGGTTCATTACTCTGTAATTATTTGCTTTGATGTATAAATTTTGTAATTTTTAAAATTTACATTTACATACACTTAATACTTTTGTGCTTTATTCGTCATATATAGGTTCATTACTTAGTGATTTTTTTGTGCTTTATTCGTTTAATTATTGTAGAAAATTTCCATATGTTAGATTTTCCATTTAAATTTGACAGTTTAGGCCTTTAGGGTTGCCAGAATTATTCTATTTACTTTCATGAAAATATAGTAATGCTTACATATACTCCCTCCGTTTTCGAATAGTTGTCGTTTTAGAGCATTTTTTTTGTTTTAAATTAGTTATCGTTTTAAGGTAATAATGTAACTTATGTCAATAACTACCTAAATTACCCTCATTTAATTAAACACAAATTATTTGTAAATAATTACTTGTCATTTTTATGAGGTTAATATAGTCATTGTATACCTTTTCTTAATTTGTCTAAATACAGTTAAAACGACAACTTTTTAAAAACAGAGGGAGTATGTTTTATACAGACAGAAATTCCCGGTTGATTGTTTATGATCAAATTCCCGGTTTGCTATGCCTGATGTCGACTTGGTTAGGCAGAAATAGGAGTTGGTTATATGTGGTTTAAGTCTGGTTAAGACATTAGCTGGTTTGTTTGAAGATTGAAGAATAAGACAATTCAAAGACTCTTTTCGGTTTAGAGAGTTCTCTGCTTCTTCTTCTTCTCCTCCTTTAACCCGAAACTTTCTCTTCTTCCTCTGAAAGCTTAATCTCTGATTCTCGTTGTTGCTCTTGAGTGAAACTATGATCTTTCATAACGATTTTCTGGATAGAATCTCTCCATAGACGTAGATCTCTTCACATCGACGGATTGAACTAGGTTTAACAATTTCTTGTATCTCTTGTTTTTACTTCTTTTGATTTCTTGTTCGGTTGATTGTGAGATTTAGCTGAAAAATTTGAGATTTTGAACCATACTGAGCCATAGGAACGTCACAAAAATCTAACTTTTGTTTGTTTTTTTAATGCATAGAAGGTGTTCGACAGATTGCCCAAGAGAGATATCAATCTGCTATAAAGTGGTTTGAGATTTTTCATTTCAGAGTTTTTCATTCAAATTCAGTTTTAGTTGCGATGGAGATATCAGACGGTCTTAAGGGGCTACTTGAAAATTCGCCATCTACGACAAATTCGACTACTTGTCTTCCGAGGAATTACATTGTTCAAAGATATGAACAATTTGCAAGGTTATTTGTTCTTCAAGCTTTAATGTGAATTCAAGAATCCATCTATTGAAAAAAAATTCAACCTTTTTTTCTCTGTTTGTAGTTGTAAAGTGATGGAGAAGGTAGACAGGTCAGGAGAAGTTTCAAAATGGGAAACTTTACACAGAGACATACTCGCCATTATTTTCGATAAGCTCGACATGATGGACATTACTATGGGAGTTTCACGCGTATGTACTTCTTGGTTCCTTGCTTCTCACAACAAAACTCTGTGGCACACCGTCGATCTCTCCAAGCTCCAACAATTGGACTTCTCCTATTTTGTCCAGTATAAGGATCGAGTTCGACCAATCATCTTCTACGAGCACCGGGTTGACGAAGAAGTAGCAGAGGGCCTAAACCTTAGGAGTCTTTATATTAAAATCAGCAACTTCTTTTTTGACTTTAGTGTATTACGCCTAACTCTCAGGGATCTACTGGTTGAGATCACCAAGCTGAGCCGCATGAACCCGAAGAATTTGTTCTTTCACTTCAATTCCTATGTACAAACAGAGGATCTCATGTTCGCTGCTGAGAGGTAACAAATGAATCATGATTTACGTCATATACAAAAGGATGATCTCAGTTTTTTTTGTTTTGTTTCTCAGGATGCCAAACATAGAGAAGCTTGTTTTACCGGTCTGGTGCTATAAAACCGAGGAGTCATTTCAGTTTGTGTTCAGTCGATGGAAGAATCTTAAAACACTAATCATCGCGCAAGATTATCAGCTTCGCACCGGGACATTCGACTTTCGAACCGTGGGAGAAAACTGCAGTAACCTTACAAACTTCAAATATTTGGGTTATTTGCAAAACGCCAATGTTGAGAAAATCGTGATGTACCTCCCGAACCTCAAGAGGTTGAGTTTGCGATGCTCTTTCATCAGGACTACAGGACTTATTTCGCTAATCACAGGCCTCCAAAACCTCACGGTTCTTAATCTCTCACATTGCATATACTTGGGTATGGTTCCTGACACGGTGCCTGATGACTATTTTGTACAAGCCCCTATTCAGAAGCTTGAAAAATTCATCACATGTACTCAAGATTGCAGGATTTGCAAAAATCAACGTCGCTACTCCTGGTCGTATCTCTCTGAGGATTGGCAGAATGATGAGATAAAGGAATTTGAATTCTGAAATATTGAAAAGCTTTGTTTGTTGTTTCGAACGAATGATAAGCTAAAATGTTCAAACCAAATGATATAACGTATACAACATTAAAACTAAGAGTATACATTTATATTTATCCCTCGTTTAACCTGTTCCAATTATACACAGAAACTATAACATTGTGTGAATTACACGAGGAAGAATTCCAAATCCATAAAACTGTACAATATTACAGAAGATCACTTCCATCAGAAATCATCAACTGCTACAGCCGATGAAGGCAGTTCACGCTCATCTTCCTTTTCCATCTCCAATTCCGGTTCAAATTCCGTCAAATCGGTAGCTGCAAGTTTCTTCAAATCAATAATCGATAACTCGTCTAGTCTTCTTACCACCAGCTCAGCTGCACCAAGCTCATAAATGGGGTGTTTACTCGCCACAGCCACACATTTCATCCTCCCATCGTGAGCCGCTTCAATGGTCTGGTTTGAGTTTCCAAATACAATGCAACGTTCTGGAATGAAATCAAGAAGCTGTGCTGCGTAAATGAACATCTCAGGATCCGGTTTACCTCTGTAAACATCTTCTGATGCAACTATCACACTGAAGAACTTTCGGATACCTATCGATCCAACTGCATTCTCTAATGTTTCCCGAGGACGAGTCGATACCAAAGCCATTGGGATCTTATTATTCATCAAGACATTCACAAACTCCTGCGACCCATCTCTTAGTCTATACACTCCTCCATGTAGAGCTTTAAAGATCTCTTCTTTACGTTTAGCCATCCTTCTCACTTGAACAGGATCTCTCGACCAACACAGAACCTCAGATATCGCCTGCTCGTTTTTCATCCCTTCAACACGTCTGAGCATAAAAGCCGGAGGAGGAGATTTCCCTTCTTCCTGAGCTAACGTCAGCCATGATTGGTTATCGAGGTCAGGATTGTCTTCAATCAATACACCTTCCCACTCAAATATCGCACCTAACCAACCACAACCCATCCGCTCTTGCCTGAGTAAAGGATTATGCAATGAAGGCTTATCAGCTTTGTTCTCAGGAGGCCATAAACTGGGCTTATCATCCGCACCAGAGTCAAGATAATTCCAAGTTTTCGGTAACCTCTCGTCTTTCTTCTTATACGCAGGCATCTCTTTCGTCAATTCCATAGCAAGAGCCCTGATCGGAAACACCGACATTCGATTCTTCTTCACACTCTGCATCATCAAATGAGAGAGAACCCCTTTCGCACTATAATCTACCTTCACCGGAAATCGAACAATGTTCTGCGATTTCTGCGTTTTTGATTCATTCTTCACAGTAATCCTCACAATCGACGGTCGATGACCCACCAAAGATACAGCACAAATAGCATCCGCCATGATTACAGAATCAAGAAACTCCTACCCAACCAATAACCTCGTAATTCAGTCCCAAATCACTACCAATCTATGATTCTCAAACCCTACTACAATCCCAAAACCTGTGAGAAAGCTGAAAGAGACTTTAATCAAGATAGAATTCAAGAACCAAACAGCTTTCCCACCGCTAAAATCTTAAACCCTAATCGATCAATTACCCGAGGAATCCATTAGAAAAGAGAGAAACTTTACAAGTAAGAAACCCTAAAAGTCTAAAAATTTACAAGACCCAGATGACGAAACTTGAAGATCGATCTATGTACAATGAAACCCAGATCAAATCGAAAAGAAAGAGAGGGGATTTTCGATTGAAACCTGGAAATGGAAACAACCGACTAGATGAATGAAAAAACTCAAAAGGCAAAGAAAGATGAAATCTTTTTCCTGAATTGGGTTTATTTGTGATTCTCTTAAATTGTTCGATTATATTTATTGCTTGATTTGATATTTGTGTATGTGGATATAATAATTCACAAATAATCCAGATATTTCTCGTTTTATTTATCTCACGGTGAATAAAAATCCACGTGTCAAATATCGGAGGTATCTACGAAAAAGATTATTCTACGTTGAAATGGCGGTACAAGAGAGGAGATTACTGTTTTGCCACGTCTCTTGAATCTTTAAAGTCACGTGTCTTTTAAGACAACACGTATCAGTTTTTAAAAAGCAGAATGTCGGCCCAGTGAGGTTCAGGCCTATTAATTGTCGTTTATGGCCATTTTCCTTTGTGATGGTTGGTTCATTTCAAACATGATGCTGTTACACACAACATGACTTGTTAGAGGATTTACCTCATGTAAAAATCTAAATCGAATTGGTGAAAAACAATAAGGAGAATCTAGAAATAGAAGCACAATAATTTTGATGAAAGAAATCAGAATCTTTTGGAGTAAGCACCCATGAAAATGCCTCTCCTTAGCTTTTTTATTTTTCATAGTTGTGAATCATTTTTGAAATCGCATCCCACATTCCCACTCTAGTTTTTCGTTTTCTAATATACATTCACAAGTTCATTAATATAAACGTTTGTCTACAGTAATAATTCTAGGAGTTTATTCAGTCATAAGTTTTAGTAGAAGTTTCAAAATTTTGCCTAATATCTCACTATAAGAGTATTTTTTTTTTATCAACATGCAGTATAAGAATTAAATGGAGATGGCGACGCAACAACAAAATTGTTATGAGGAAATGGGTCATTATATTTACCTCTTCTTCAATGTGAGATGAGTAATAGATCATATGAAGATGGTGCTATCACCATGAACCAAAACCGGTCTCGTGCCACACATGATATCTAATATCTTACAGAAGCTCCAACTGAATGGTGAGTAATCGGAATATCGGTAATCTGCTCAAGATAGGGAATATCAGCAGAGAGAGACATGCTTCGGCTAATAGACTAAACCTAGAAGTAACTCTAAATTATTTAAGTTGCAATCTAAAGACATACACATATAGAATAAGTCAACAATTTATCAAAAATCTAAACTACAAATGACACAAATTTATAAGTGATCGATTATCCCAAATCATTCATTCAATGAATCAATGTGCTCTCCTAATATTTTATATTGAAAAATCACAAAGCTTTAGTTCCATTTCTGGCAAGCTACTTAATTCTTTTCACTAATATCACAAACAATTAATTTTAATCATCAATTTCAGTTAGTGGATAAATTTAGTATGCAAATCATTTTTAATACATTTGATGAAAACAAAACAAAAAATCAATTAAATTTAAACCAGCGAACACATAAGTACTGTATACCCATTTATTCAATATTCTATAAGAAATTTCATATTCATTGAATAAGAAAACTAATTTAAGCTAAATAAAGTATAATAAAATTTGTTATAAAATTTTAGATATTTATAATAGTATTAATTATTTCAAAGTATTTGATATAAAATAGCTTATTTAGAGCCAATATTCACTTGGATCATTTAACATGCAAAAAAAAGAAGGATAACTAATAAGGAAATAAAAAAAATAAGAAAGTGAGGCAAAGAAGCAATGAAAATATATGTTTACACACAAAATACAATAAGATAAATAAGTAATAATATTTACCCACGAAATAAACTAACAATAAAAAATTTAGGTGCGTAAAAAATTCGCCGAATTTACTAACAATGAAATTTACGTGTGAAAAAACTAGAGATAATTGAGTGAGAGACACTACTTCTTGAGTTATTTAAATTTTCGGTATTAGGCCATATGACTCAAGACAATGATAATAATTAGCCATCCTTTTTCCCGATTTTAGCCCCACGCACGCACCTCTCTCATTCTCATGGCCCCACGCACCTCTCTCCTTCTCATGTTCATCTCTCTCTCAACTCTGTTCTAATATTCGAAGTGATAAAAAAAACAGTGTTGTGTTTATTATTCACACCGCCACTGTTTATTCATCGGAAAAGATAACTTTCACGATACAAATAAGAATCTAAAACATTGTTTGGATCTTCACAAATAGATCTACAAAGAATAGATGCAGATCTATCTCTCTCAACTCTTTTCTAATTCATTCAAACCGATAAGAAAAACAGCGTCGTGTTTATTATGTTTATATGCTTGAAATGCCAGTGCAAACTTTTGCTAGGGACGCAGTGCCGGTGGTTGATGACACATACCTCAAAGGTAACATAGCCAATGTAACATAGAGCTCTACATTTGCAAATAATGAGTCTTATCCAATTGTGAATATCCATGTATTAACTTGGATTGCTAAAAACATGAACACGTGGAGACAGAACAAGGTTGGTCTTGCTGGATGTGGATTACGAGGGGGATGAACAGTTAATGGAGCCGCAAGAAAACTTATGAACATGCAAACACGAAAGTATAGATCTATGCAGATTTGTGAATGTCCAAACCTGCATAGATTATTCCTCTATCCTGACTTTCATTAGAAACCCAACGAGGGTTGTGTATTTTATTACAATCTACCTATGTTTTCTTTTGGATTATTCCTCTATCCTCCTTCTTTATTTTGAACCATTGTTCCACCAGTCTTTCATCTTATGAACTAGTAGTATCTGTATTTTTGTTTCAATCTGTTGGTTATACCTTCTAACCTTTTATGGCTCTATGTTTTAACTTTTTCCGCGATATACATGTTCATTCATTAGCTATAGATAGCTACATTTATAAATACATGTATATCTAGTTATGTACAACTACATATTCAATGAGTTTTACTCTTGTTGTTAAATATGTAGACGTCTATATTAAAAGGTGTATGTCTAAGCAGCTCTTATGTTGGACATGCGCATGTGGGGCGCGTAAGGGTCAGGTATTTGACAAGTATTTAATATGTGTCAGTTTAATTGTACTTTTGTGTCAGAAGCCAAACCCACGCGCATACGTTTTACGCTTCCTGGTTATTTTGTAAATAACTTCTAAAGGTGACCCTTTTCTAGCTTTTGATAATACCTCGTAGCCGACAACTTCTTATAATACCTCTGCACTAATTTGTGTTCCCATTTTTACCTCTGCACAAATTCACTCAAAACTTTATAAAAAAAAAAGACTAATTTATGAAATAGTCAAAGTTGTAAACAAAATTTTTCATTAAATTGGTAAAAGAAAAGAGATAAGTGAAAACATTATAAATAGGCAGACGCAGAAAAACCATATCTCATATTAAAAAGATCCAATTTTTTGATACAAAAATTTACTAAATTCTTTTTCCGATTTATCGAAGAGGAAACAAACAATGGTGTTGTCTCGGCGATTTGCTCAAGTGTCGAGTGACGAAGAAGACGATGTACCGATTACTAGGTCTAAGGGAAGAAACTCAGCGAGTCCTGAGGAAGCTTTGGGGAAACGGAGAAAGCGTAAGACGGTGAAGCTATACGAAGATTTTGAAGAGAAGGAAGCGGAGAGGAAGAGGAAGAGAAAGGGGAAGAAAGAGGAGGATGATGATGAGGATATGGCGGAGGAAGAGGAGGAGGAGGAGGAAGGAACGCCAGCGGAGGGTGAAGAAGAGGAAGAAGAAGAAGAGAAGCCTGATGATGCGTGTCCTCTTGGTGAATCGGTTACTGTTACGGGTAAAGGGAAAGGGAAAAGAACTCATTTCAAGCAATTTGCGTATGATGGTAACACTTATGATCTGGTGAGTTTTGTTTATCTTTAGGGTTTTTGATTTTGGTGGAGTTTGATTGTTGTGATCAAATTGAGATTGTAGATTTGGAATTGAGAATTTGTTCGTAATTTAGTCTGCATTGCTTGTTTTTATTACATTGTTATGGACATTGAAATCTAGGGTTTTGAGGAACTTTGATGTCTCTGTGACATTAGAATGTATCAACGCTTTGGGTTTACTGGGTTTTCATGGCTGTTGTTTATGAAGAATCTAAGATGATGTAGGGGATTAGAGATAGATTAATGTCTTATACTCTTCTGGTTGTTGTCATTTGTTGGACACTCATCGATGTGTCATAGGAATGTTTCTGACTATGCAGTGCTTAGAGACTTTGGAAGTTTATCTTTTACATCATGATTTCTCTTGCATCTGAATGGTTAGGATCGTATACATGTTTGTCATGAGTGTTCATATAGTGCCTGGTTGAGTTAATGCTTGAGAACTTTAAGACTATTTACTTCTAGTCTCTCTTATAATATCTTTTTGTGTAGGAGGATCCGGTGCTGCTGGTTCCTGAGGACAAAAGTCAAAAACCATATGTTGCAATTATTAAGGTACTGGTGTGCTAAATTTTGTATTTACTTTTTTGGTTTTTGTTGTATCATCTGCTTTGAAATAATGACATATGCTTCTTTGATAGGATATTACCCAAACTAAAGATGGAAGTATGATGATTCTGGGACAGTGGTTTTATCGCCCCGAAGAAGCAGAGAAAAGGGGTGGTGGAAACTGGCAATCAAGTGATACACGAGAACTGTTCTACAGTTTCCATCGTGATGAAGTGCCAGCAGAATCTGTGATGCACAGATGTGTTGTTTATTTTGTCCCGGCCCATAAACAACTTCCGAAACGCAAAAATAACCCTGGATTTATTGTACGGAAGGTCTATGATACTGTTGAAAAGAAGCTGTGGAAGCTGACTGACAAAGACTATGAAGACTCAAAACAACGTGAAATCGACGTTCTTGTCGACAAGACCATGTCGGTATTGGGTGATCTTCCGGACCTTGAATCTGAGGAAATGTTTGTTGACCAGGAGAATGTGTTGAAGGCCAAAAGATCTTTTCGGAAAGCGAACATAAGTCCTGTGGATGTTAGAAGGGAGGAAGATGCCTCTTTAAAGGCTGAAACTCCTGGAAGTGGTGCGGGTATTTCATCAGAGCATTATGCTATCTTAGAGAAGTTTGATTCACTAACAGGTGATGCTCATCGTGACAAGTGTTTGGGGAAGCTTCTGGAGGCAGTCCATCACATATGTTATATCCCTGAGAACAAGCAGGCTGGCGACGAAGCAAAGGTGGGTTCAGATGGATCTCATCTTGAGCAGGATGGGAAAAATACAAAGCCGGAAAATGGAAAGGTCCTAGCTAAATGTTCCAATCACTTTTATCACGCGAAATATTCTCCCCCTTCATACAGTCATCTTTCACATTTCCTCCTACCAAAATTGACCAAATTACATGCTGGTTATCTAAGTATAATTTAGAATTCAGTAATTGCTGGAATAACTCTTTTGTTTAAACTGATTGACAGGATGAAAAATTTCTCTGGCCAGATGCTGCTGTTCCTCCAGTGTGTGCTCTTGAGAATGCTTCACATGCTTCTCTTGCATCGGATTTTCAGAAATATAACCAAAAGATGAGGACACTGGTTTTCAATCTCAAGGTTATAGAATCTGCATTCATGCCATTACAATACTATTTCCCCCTAATTTTCTACTCTTGATTCTTTGACCATACTGGAATGTTTGTGCATGTATGCTCCTTTTTAAGACAGTTGATATATGAATTTAATAAGACATGGTAAAACTTGAATGCCTTATGAATGGTTTATTACTGGACTTCACATCCAAACAATAATATGCTTGTCTATATTTGTGAGCCTTTGTGGAGATTCTCAGTTTGCCGTAAACATCACTTTGGAGTTTTTTCTAAGTATTTAATAGTAATTTCATTTTTGTTTTGTCTGCAGAACACTGCACTGCTGGCTAGACGACTGCTCAATGGCGAGTTAGAGCCTGCAAAGATTTTGAACATGTCACCCACTGAGTTAAAGGTGAAGAACTTGTTATGTTACATAATGGCAGCCAAATTCTCTCCCCTTTTTGTATTCAGTCTCCTTTCCTCAATTTCACTTGCATAGATTCCACTTCAGATCTCTTCTGAATTTTGCTCTGTTCCATAGTAAGCAAATATTAATGAGTATATCTTACATGTTAAAACGACTAAAGAGTGAGGTTTTTCTGGGATTCAGGAGGGTCTAACTGCTGACGAAACAACAAAGAAGGAGCCTGATGATGCGGATCGAATGCAGGTCTTTTAATTTCTGAAAATTGAAGTTTTCATTTAGTTTGTTGGATTTCAATTAGGGAATGTCTATGACTATGTCGTGTGTATGTTCCGTATGCAGATGACATCTGTAAGATGCTCGAGATGCAATCAATTGAAGGTTGGCCTGAGAGATGTCATCCAAGCTGGACATGGAGATCGCTATCAGGTTTTTATGCTTTTCCTTAATACGCAATATATCCTTGAATGCATACAATTTGCTAAAACCGAGAAAATAAAGAGATGGTAGTGTGTGTATATAAGCCAGGGACATCATATAAATAATCTTCTTCTCTTACTGCTGTGCAAATAAATCCATGGATCCTAATAATCACATTTTGATTCTGTTTTTGCATCTAGCTGGAGTGTGTTGACTGTGGCTATTCCTGGTATGCCTCAAGGGATGAGGTATCCACTCTGACAATAGTCACAGAAAAACCTGCCCAAGGCACAGAGAAGGAGGATATTGAGAAGAATTTGACCAGTCCTCGTGAAACTGAGAAACCAAAAGACGAAGCCTTGAAGACCAATGACTCGAACGCTGACAACAATCCTGAAGCCTCCAAGAAACCAGAGTAAATGGTTTCCAACTTTTAACCTTATGTTTAGAGTTTCGGGTCTGAATTCGAACTGGGTTTCACTTTTAACAGTTGATTAACCGTATAGTTAAGTCGGATAAAGCTTATCACTTTGGTTATGGGCATATATCAATTGTCTCTTTCTCTTATTGAACTTTATTTTAATGCACCATCTTTATCAATAATTATCTATTCGTCTTTGTGAACAATATTCTCTTTGTAGTTTTCAACATTCGTATCTTTATGTTTGTCGACCATACACGATCCAATGCAGTTGGAACACGGCCAAGTAGGGAAGTACATACATGGATAGATAGACACAAGTTAGTGGCACTAGACACATTCCATTATCTATTATCGTCTCTCTCTTTCCTCGTAAAGCATGAGTGCATGACTGTCCCGACTGTCACTAACACCATTTACTTCACCGTCTTCATAACCCTTTTTTTCTCCTCTTGCCTCTACTACTCCAGAATATGCCCATCTCCAAATTTTTTACCTTTTGACAGATTCGAGATTTGGATATTTGTGTGCCATTATCTCATTGTGTAAGATCGAAATGTACACCGCCATTGTGTGTGCGCGCGTCAAGCTGTTTTGCTTTCCATTAATGGTGTCCTTGCAATGAGGACATTTGATGGTATTAGACTCCATTGATATGGCTAATCTATATAACTGGGTTTCAAGATTTTACTACTCAGCTATACATTGTGTAAACAGGAGATGAAGTTACACTTGATCTTGAACTCCACTTCATCTTGTTCTGACGATTTTGATGCGTCTTCACTTCAATATGAGATTTGTCTAATAATTTTGTGTCGGATACATCAACGAGTTTATGCCCAACAAAACCTTCTATTGGTTCCTATTTTGTCTATTAGTTTGCTTTCATTGTTTTATCTTTTATGATACGATTCGATGTGCCATTAGCTAATGGTATAATACATGGATGTTCATGCAGACATTGCAATGGTAAGGTACAATATATATTGGGATAATACGATACAAGGTCATCCAAGTGATTGCTTCAGAAGGATTCTTTATCTTCATATAAATTTACAGTCATAAACGGTGACCTCAAAAGCCACTAAAATACTCGTTGATGCTTATTATTAACACAACAAAACTGAACTTACTATTATTTGTGATTGGTGCTCTGTTTCTCATCTCCGTATTACTTTCTAGGTTTGCCTAAATTATGGTTTACATTTTTTCTGCTGATTACTAAATTCAAAATTTCATCAAAAAAAAGTTGTAGATAATGCTGACATTTTGCACTACTATAGAAGAGAAGGATTTTCTTGCTGTATGATGCTGACATTTTGCATTTTATTTAATTAAAAAACTTGTAAAACATTTTCCTTATTTAGTTTATTTGATTTAATATATATATTTTCAAATGGATCACTTTTACCATAAAGATAAGAGTTTTGAGTGGAGGAGAAAGAGAATTGAAAGGAGCATATATAGCTTCCTTCTTCTTCTTCTTCTTCTTATTCTTCTTCATCTTCTTCTCAATCTTGTAGTAGACGACCATGGAATCTGAGGGAGTGTCACTACCGTTGATCCACAAGCATCTTATGATGCCTTGGGATAATGATCTGCAGAAAGGGGATTGTTGTGGACGCTTTGGATTTAGCAGTGGTGGCTATTGCTGCAAACGCTGTGACTCCTTTTTTCACAGGAAATGTGTTGATGTGTCCTCTAAATCTATCGAACACCCATCCCACTCCATTCACACACTGAAGCTTCAAAGTAAACTACTCTACCTTAATTTATACAAGATATGTGATTTATGCGGCAAGAGAATCGTGAATCTATTATATGGTTGTAAGATCTGTGACTTCAACGTGGATCTATACTGTGCAAAGTACCCACCACCAGAGGTTATTGACATTTCCGAGACGCATCACCACAAGCTCACCCTTTTCAAGAAGCTGACCGTGTTCAACTGTGATGCCAACAAATGTGGGAAGCCTGGTTTGGAGTTTCCTTACAAATGTCATGAATGTGATTTAGCCTTCCATGTCGATTGTGTATGGAATCCGCCGGAGCCAGAATACCCGTCAGAGGTAAACCACACTTACCATTCCTTACACCCTCTTAAGCTCCACACAGGTCAACTACCGGAATATTCTGATGGAAAATGTCGTCTTTGCTCAAGAAAGATATATGATAGATTGTTTTATCATTGTTCTGCTTGTAACTTCACCTTGGATATGCGTTGTGTTTTAAACCCACCACCACAATCTGTTCTGGATTTGAAAGTTCATGCTCACCAACTCATCTTTCGCCCAAGACTTGATTCTTTTACATGTAATGCTTGTGGGTTGAGTGGAGATCGAAGCCCTTACATATGTCTTCAATGTGATTTCATGATACATCAAGAGTGTCTAACCCTTCCACGTCTCATAAACATTAATCGGCATGATCATCGTGTTTCTCGCACTTCTGTTCTTGGTGTTGTCAATTCTGTGTGTGGAGTCTGTCGCCAGAAGGTGGATTGGACATGGGGTGGGTATTCTTGTCAGAAGTGTCCAAGCTATGTCGTTCATTCAAAATGTGCTACTAGAAAGGATGTGTGGAACGGGGAAGAGCTCGAAGGAATACCTGAAGAGATAGAAGATACTGAGCCATATGTGGTAAATGATGACAACACAATACAACATTTCAGCCACAAAGAGCATGACCTGAGATTTCACGTTAACGGTCTTTTCTGGGAGGAAAACAAGCGTTGCAGCGCTTGTAGCCATCCCATTTGTCTTCAATCCTTCTATGGCTGTATCGATTGTGATTTCATGCTTCACCAAAGTTGTGCTAACTATCCTAGAAAGAAGTGGCATGTGCTACACAACGACCGACTTACTTTAGTTACAAGCAAGGATGGTGTTTTTTGGTGTCAAGCTTGTGGTAGAATGTCTAATGGTTTCATGTACAAGTGTGGGGATACGAGGTTAGATGTTCTGTGCGGTTCAGTTTCAGAGCCTTTTGTCCATCCAAGCCATCCCCATCATCCCTTATATTACATTCCATCAGTGGAAGAAAAAAAATGCAACGGTTGCAACAACTCGACATCTCGTGTGCTTACATGCATTGAAAGTGGTTGTGGATTCGTCTTATGCTTCCATTGCGCCACGTTACCACAAGTGGTAAAGCATAGAGTAGACGATCATCCTCTCTCACTATGCTATGGTGAAAAGGCAAGTGGCAAATACTGGTGTGACATTTGTGAGAAAGAAACGAGTCCAAGTACATGGTTCTACACGTGTAAAGATCACCGAGCTAGTTTGCATACAAAGTGCGTGCTGGGAGACTTTCCAGGGCTCATGCCAAGAAGCACAGTAAAGCTTGATAGCAGATCATTCGAGGTGGTGCTCAATACTAGTGTATCTCGTCCATTTTGCAGGGTGTGTGAGTCGCATTGCATGTACCCTATCGTCTTGAAGATGCTTGGAATCTCAGATCGATACATTTGCTCTTTAGACTGCATAAGACGTTTTTTTTATGTGATGAAAATAGTTTTTGGGGGATGAACCTTATAAATAGATTTATAAATATTTTCTTAATACTGAAATATTTATAAATCTATTTTCAATATAAAGAATAATGACAATCTCTGTAATTTGTTTTGCCACTAAAAATTTCTGTCGTTCAATAATTCTGTTCAACGAAAAACCCAAAATGTATCTTTGATATATCTTCTTAACAGTTAACATGTCGAGAGACAAATAGATTATGGCGTTTCTGAGTTTTTCTTATTTCTTCTTTTATTAAATTTGAGTTGTTGTTGTTAGAGTAAAATTCTTTTAGAGGTAATGGAGAAAGTGTTTAAGTATTTGAGAGAGAGTTTTAGGAAATAGAACTTTTATTACTTTGATTTTAACTTGAAGACAACTTCATAATCTTACAACAAATGAGAGAGGGAGGAGGTATTTATAGCCTCCAAACTACAAAATATCTAAAATATTTTAATCCTAAATCTAGAGAGTTCTTAACATAATATCTAGATTACAATATTCTAATTATCTAGATTATTCTATAAGAATATCTAGATTTTTATGTTTAAGGAGGTGGAAGATGATTCTAGAAAATTTCTAGAACATTTTAAGGAGGTGGTAATTATGATATTTCTAGAGAAAACTCTAGAACTTGGATTTGGCCCATCAAATAATTATTGGGTAATTAACCCAATAATTAAACTTGATTCAAAATCAAGTTTAACTTTCAACACCCCCTCTTAAACTTGATTTTGTTACTCCAAGCAAACTCCTCATCTTGATAAAATCTTCACGCTTGAGAGGCTTGGTGAAAATATCGGCTACTTGGTCATGTGTCTTCACATACTCCAATAGCACGTCCTTCTTGTTAACACACTCTCTAATGTAGTGATAGCGTGTGTCAATGTGTTTACTTCGATCATGGAAGACCGGGTTCTTCGCCAATGCTATTGCCGACTTGTTATCCACAAAAATCTTCGTTGGTTCCTCTTGTGGTAAGCTTAACTCCTTTAAGAGGTTTCTTAACCAAATAGCATGGCACACACATGAAGTAGCCGCTACATACTCCGCTTCACAAGTGGATAGAGTGACAATTGGTTGCTTCTTCGACATCCATGTGAAAGCCGTATCTCCAATATAAAACACGAAACCACTTGTGCTCTTTCGGTCATCTACGTCTCCACCCCAATCGCTATCGCTATATCCAACAAGCTTGTAATCATTAGAAGTAGAATAGTGTAAGCCATAGTTTATGGTACCTTTGATATAGCGAAGAATCCTCTTGGCCGCCTTGAAATGAGTTGTTGTTGGATGCTCCATGTAACGACTAACAACTCCGACCGCATATAAAATATCGGGCCTTGTGCATGTTAAATATCTCAAGCTTCCAACCAAGCTCTTAAAGGTTGTTGGATCCACTCCTTCCCCTTCTTCTTTCTTTGATAATTTGATTCCGCATTCCATTGGTGTGCTCACCGGGTTTGAGTCATCCATCTTAAACTTTTTAAGTACCTCCTTAGCATAGCCTTCTTGAGTAATGAAGATTCCATTATCTTCTTGTTTTACTTCAATTCCGAGGTAATAAGACATCAATCCAATATCCGTCATCTCGAACTCCTTCGTCATCTCTTTCTTGAATTCTTCAAACATGCTTGGATTGTTACCCGTGAATATCAAGTCATCTACATATAAGCATGCGATCAATATATCGTCTTTTTGAATTTTGATATAAAGTGCATGCTCATATGGACACTTGATGAAGTCTTTCTCCTTGAAGTACTTGTCAATTCGAGTATTCCAAGCTCTTGGGGCTTGTTTTAGTCCGTAAAGCGCCTTCTTTAGCCTCAAGACTTTGTCTTCTTCTCCTTTGACTATATAGCCTTGTGGTTGCTCAATGTAAACTTCTTCTTCAAGGTCTCCATTTAAGAAGGCCGACTTGACATCCATTTGATGTATTTTCCACTTGTTTTGAGCTGCTAGTGAAATGATTAGTCTAACCGTTTCTAGACGAGCAACGGGAGAAAATACCTCGTCATATTCCATTCCGGCTCTTTGACTATAACCTTTTGCCACCAATCTTGCTTTGTATCTTTCCACTTCCCCTTTAGAATTTTTCTTTGCTTTATACACCCACTTCACACCTATCGCCTTGTGTCCATTTGGAAGTGAAGCTAGCTCCCATGTATCATTCTTTTTTATCGCCTTTATCTCTTCATCCATGGCATTTCTCCAAGTCTTCTTTTCAATGGCTTCTTGGAAGTCCATGGGTTCGCACTCCGCAAATAGACAAAATAAAGTAAGGTTGTCTTGATTTTCGGTTACCTCGTAGAGCTCTTGTAAACTTCTAAAACGAGGAGTCCTCTCGCTTGAGCTTTCTTCTCCTTGAGAACTTGTTGGTGAAGTTGGTGGTGTAGTAGGTTCTTCTCTTGGTGGCTCTTCTCTTGTTAGCTTCGAGTCATCTTCTTCAAAGTGTGGAAAGAAGTTATAATCTTCTTCATTTGATTTCCAATCCCATTCTCCTTCTTCATCGAAAACGACATTTCGACTAATTATTGTCTTCTTCGTATCGGGATTATAGAGCTTGTAGCCTTTGGAGTTGTTATCATAACCAATGAAGATATACTTCTCACTTTTATCGTCTAGTTTACTTCGCTTCTCATCCGGTACATGAGCATGAGCAATGCTTCCAAAGACTCTTAAATGAGAAACACCGGGCTTCCTTCCGCTCCATGCTTCTTGTGGTGTTTTTCCCGAGACACTTTTTGTTGGAGATCGGTTTAATAGATAAACCGCACACGCGACCGCTTCCGCCCACAACTCTTTTGGTAGTCTCTTACTTTTGAGCATGCTCCTTGCCATCTCAAGAATTGTTCTATTCTTTCTTTCCGCTACACCGTTTTGTTGAGGGGATCTTGGCACCGTTAGTTGTCTTCGAATGCCGTTATCTTCACAATACTTTAAAAACTCCTTCGATATAAACTCTCCTCCACGGTCGGATCTCATGGCTTTGATTTCAAGACCACTTTCCTTCTCAACATGGGCTTTAAGCTTTTTGAAGTTCTCGAACACCTCGGATTTTTCTTTCAAAACGTAAACCCATGTTTTTCTTGAAAAATCATCAATAAAGAGAAGGAAGTAGTTACTTTTACCAAGTGATTTTGGCTTGATCGGACCACACACATCCGTGTGTATTAGCTCCAACGGTTTTTGAGCTCTTGTACTTGATTCCTTTGGAAAGCTCATTTTGAATTGCTTTCCAAGTAGACATCCTTCACACACTTGATTTGGATGATTGATGCAAGGTAGTCCTCTCACCATTTCTTTCTTCGAAAGCAACTCCAATCCTCCAAAATTTAGATGCCCGAATCGAAGATGCCAAAGCCAAGACTCCTCCTTATAGCACATCTTGAGACATTGTGCGATGTCATTTTGAATGTTAAGGACAAACATTCTATTTTTCGACATCGGTACCTTGGTAATGAGATTACTTGCTTGGTCTCTTATAGAAAGGTTATTATCTTTTAGTCGAATATCATAACCTTTCTCTAAGAGTTGTCCAAGGCTCAAGATGTTTGTCTTCATGCTCGGAATATAGTAAACGTTGGAAATAAATTGATGATCTCCATTCTTCAATCGGATGAGAATGTTTCCTTTACCTTTTACCTCCATCTTCGATTCATCTCCTAAAGCCACATTTCCTCTCACCGATTCATCAAGCTCCGCGAACATACTTTTGCTCCCGCACATGTGATTACTTGCACCACTATCAAGGTACCACTTATGATTCTCTTCATGTTCACCTTTCTTGTAACTAGCCATTAATAACATGTCTTCTTCTTGGATTTTTTCTTCAACGTAGTTGGCCTTCTCCTCGACCTTTTTGTTGTTAGGAGCTTTACATTCGGAAGCATAATGTCCAAACTTCCCACAATTGTAGCATTTGACACTTGACTTATCATATCTTGATTTTGGACTTCCTCTCCCACGACCTCTTGATGAGTTTTCTCCTCTTTGGTTTGTGTTGTCTTCATATGGCCTCCAACCTCGTCCATTTCCATATCCACGGCCTCGTCCTCGTACTTGACCGCCACCTCGTCTTTGGTAATTTTGGCCATTTTCTTCTTTAGTAATCCGCATTTTGAGGACTTGTTCGACGATATCTTCTTCTTTTCTTCATAAGCTTGTAATGACCCAAGAAGTTGCTCTATTGACATAGCCTCTAAATCTTTTGTTTCTTCAATGACGGTGACAATATGCTCAAATTTTGGATCCAACGATCTAAGAACTTTCTCCATGATTCTCACGTCATCTAGCTTCTCTCCGTTTCTTTTAAGGTTATTAGTAACTATCAACACTCTTGAGAAGTAATCGGAGACGAGTTCACCTTCCTTCATTTGCAATGCTTCAAATTCTCCTCTTAGAGTTTGAAGACGTACCTTCTTAACTTGATCGGCACCTTTGTAAGAGGTTCGAAGCTTCTCCCATGCTTCTTTGGCCGACGTAGCTTCAACGACCTTCTCGAACGTATCTTCATCTAATCCTTGATAGATTAGACAGAGAGCTTTCTTGTCTCTCTTTCTTGAGTCTCTCAAACCATCCTTTTGAGTTTGAGAAAGACTACCTTCATTCTCCGGTTCAATGAAACCTTTCTCGACTATCTCCCACACGTCATGTGCTCCTAGGATAGCCTTCATTCGTAGACTCCAATTATCGTAGTTGCTCTTTGTGAGCATTGGAACTTGGAAGGGAACATTGTTACTCGCCATCTTTAGGATCTTCAAGCTCTGATACCACTTTGTTAGAGTAAAATTCTTTTAGAGGTAATGGAGAAAGTGTTTAAGTATTTGAGAGAGAGTTTTAGGAAATAGAACTTTTATTACTTTGATTTTAACTTGAAGACAACTTCATAATCTTACAACAAATGAGAGAGGGAGGAGGTATTTATAGCCTCCAAACTACAAAATATCTAAAATATTTTAATCCTAAATCTAGAGAGTTCTTAACATAATATCTAGATTACAATATTCTAATTATCTAGATTATTCTATAAGAATATCTAG